GAAGGCGTATAGATTCTAACCTTGCCACTGGAGCATATGTCTCAGTGTAATCAATACCTTCTTGTTGACTGTACCCTTGAGCAACCAGCCTTGTCTTATTCCTTTCAACTTCTCCTTTCTCATTTAGCTTATTTCTGAAGACCCATTTTGTACCAATTATATTGAATCCTTGAGGTCTTTGAACTAGATCCCATACATCATTTCTGGTGAATTAATTTAGCTCATCTTGCATGGCAATAATCCAATCATTGTCTTGCAGAGCTTCATCTATAGAAGATGGTTCAATTTCTGACACCAGTCCAAATAGTGATGCTTCAGATGATCTTAGAAAGGATCTTGTTCTGATGGGATCATCCTTCTTTCCAATAATAACATCCTCTGGATGAAAAGCTTTAATTCTGGATGATGATCCTCTAATAGTTGATTCTTCAGAAATGTTTAGATTATTCATCTGAGAAGTTAAAGGAGTAGCATCTGGTGTTGCTTCTGGTTCCTTCACTTGAATTTTGTCTGCTTCTGGAACTTCAGAGTCAATGAAGACTACTTCCCTATCTGCAGAGTTTTCAGACTGCTTTGGCTTTTCAGAGCCAAGCTTATCATCAAATCTGACACGAATGGATTCTTCCACAATCTGTGTCTTAGTGTTGTATACTCTGTAGTCTTTAGAGCGTTCAGAATATCCAAGCATGAAACACTTCTGTGCTTTGGAATCAAACTTGCTCAGATTTTCCTTAGTGTTTAACATATAGCAAATACATCCAAAAGGATGAAAATATGAAATGTTGGGCTTTTTGTTCTTCCACAGTTCATAAGGAGTCTTCTTCAGAAGAGGTCTTACAGACACTCTGTTCTGAATATAACATGCTATGTTGATTGCTTCTGCCCAAAAGTGTTTTGCCAGATTTGTCTCATTGATCATGGTTCTGGCCATTTCTTGCAGAGTTCTGTTTTTCCTCTCTACAACCCCATTTTGTTGTGGAGTTCTAGGACAGGAAAAATCATGAGCAATGTCATTTTCAGAAAAATATTTTTCAAAATATTTATTTTCAAATTCACCACCATGATCACTTCTGACTTTTATAATTTTGAAATCCTTTTCATTCTGGACTTGCTTGCAGAAGTCAAAGAGCACAGAATGTGACTCATCCTTGTGTTTTAAGAACTTTACCCATGTCCATCTACTATAGTCATCAACAATGACTAATTCATACTTCTTGCCTCTGATGGATGCAGTTTTCACTGGTCCAAACAGATCAATATGAAGTAGTTCTAGTGGTTTAAAAGTAGAAACAACATTTTTTGATTTAAAAGATGTTTTTGAAAACTTCCCCTTTTGGCATGCTTCACAAAGAGCATCTGAAGTGAACTTCAGATTAGGGAGTCCTCTGACAAGATTAAGTTTATTAATCTGAGATATACGTCTCATATTAATATGGCCCAATCTTCTGTGCCAGACCCATTGCTCTTCATTAACAGACAAGAGGCATTTAACATTTTGAACTTTAAATTCTGAAAGATTTATTTTATAAATGTTGTTTTTCCTCTTACCACTAAATAGGATAGAGCCATCCTTTTGACTAATAGCTTTACAACATTTTTGATTAAAGGTGATATCATAACCATTGTCACTTTATTGACTTATGGACAATAAGTTATGCTTCAACCCTTCAACAAGTAAAACATTAGTAATAGAGGGAAGTTTATCATTTCCAATAGTGCCAGATCCAATGATCTTGCCCTTCTGGTTCCCTCCAAACTTCACATTACCTCCAGATCTAAGTTCCAGGCTTTGGAACATAGACTTTTCTCCTGTTATGTGTCGTGAGCATCCAGAGTCCAGGTACCATGATTGGCGTCCTGACCTTGCTGCTAAGAACATCTACAACAGGAATTATTTTGTTTTTAGGTACCCAGATCTTCTTGGGTCCTTTGGGGTTAGTTGGTTTGTAGGTTTGTTTAAACTTCTGTTTTTCAACATAATGTTTATTCTGACTTGCCTTGGGTTTAAACACATAAGTATTCTTCTTAGAGTTTGTGTGTTTAATTTCATTTAAGTGACCAAATTTAAATTGAGAATACAGAGGTGTCTTCTTGATGAAAAGTTTGTCAACAGATTTTGGATTACTTCCAGATGAAGATTCATATCCAATATCTCTTCTGTTGTTCCCACTAACACCATAGATCATAGAAGCCATCTTGCTTCTGTCTATGCTCTTAGTAAGGAATTTCTGAAAGCTAGAGTCATATTTTTCTAAAATGTTTTCACATGACTTATTCTCAGATTCAGATTCTTGTTGAGTTATATCAAAGTCATTTTTGATTTTCAGATTAATTTCTTTTTGCTCAACAAGTTCTGTCTTCAGAAGATCAATCTTAGATTCAAGATTGCTTTTCAGCTTTTTGTATTTGAGTTTGATATTGTTATAACTTTTAAGAACTTCTGTTAAAACTTTTATAAGTTCTTCTTTGGTAAGTTTAGCCATTACCTCTTCTGCGTCATCATCAGATTCAAAATCTGATTCATATCCAGAGGTTCCTTCCTCTTGATCCTCTGTGCTGGCCATCAGTGCAACATTAGCACATTCTTCTTCTGATTCAGAAGATGATTCAGATTCATCTGAGTCATCCCATGTTGCCATTAGAACCTTCTTATTTTTGTTAAACTTCTTCTTGGGTTTTTCTTTTTGAAGTTTGGGGTAATCATTCTTGTAATGCCCAGTTTCTTTGCACTCATAGCACACAACTTCTTTCTTGCCAGATCTTCTGTGCCCAGAAGATTCCTTTCTATTATCAGATCTTCTGAAGTTGTTGAGCTTCTTTCCCTTGTGCTTCCAGAGTCTGTTGATCCTTCTGGACAGCATGGATAATTCATCTTCTTCTTCAGAAGAAGATTCTTCAGAGCTTTCTTCAATAACCTGCAAAGCTTTAGCAGATTCGTTAGATTTTAAGGCAACATATTTACCTTTTTCTTTATTCTGAGGTTCATCTTCATGGCTCCTCAGTAAGCTGATGAGTTCTTCTAAGGAGATCTTGTTCAGATCTTTAGCCATCTTCAAGGCAGTCACCATTGGTCCCCATCTGGTAGGTAGACTTCTGATGATTTTCTTTACATGATCTGATGTAGAGTATTCCTTGTCCAGAACTTTTAGCCCAGCTGTGAGGATCTGAAATCTGGAGAACATGGCTTCAACAGATTCAGAGTCTTCCATCTTGAAGGCCTCATACTTCTGGATCAGATCCAGAGCTTTTGTCTCCTTGACTTGAGAGTTTCCCTCATGAGTCATTTTTAAGGATTCAAACATATCAAAAGCAGTTTCCCTGTTTGTAATTTTTTCATACTCAGTATGGGAAATTGCATTCAATAATATAGTTTTGGCTTTGTGATTATTTCTAAAATCTTTCTTCTGAGCATCTGTCATAGATTTTCTGTCTGTCTTCTTGCCATTCCCATTTGTGGGATGGACATATCCATCTATGACTAGATCCCATAGATCAGCATCATATCCTAGGAAAAAACTCTCAATTCTGTATTTCCAGTAATCAAATTTCTCCCCATCAAACATAGGGGGTTTGGTGCTGATCCTGTCCCTTTCTTCATATTTATTGTTAATGTTGGATATTATATTATCAGCCATTGTAACAAATAAATATATATCAAAGTATTTCTCTCTGAATCTTTACTGTCACTGTTAAGTGGTAGCACACACAAAACCGGAGCTCTGATACCAAGTGAAGGTGAGAAAATACTTAGAAGGGGGGGTTGAATAAGTATGAAAGATTAAAACTTAGAAATAAAAACACAATTATTTTTATCCTAGTTCGTTGAACTCAACTACTCCAGTCCACCCTTCCTAGAGTGATTTGCCTTTCTCAACAAGGACTTAATCCACTATTTAATCAAACAGATTACAATAGTAACACCTAAGAACAACTGTTCTTAGTCTTCTCAAGAGCTACTGATTCCAACTGAATCCTCTTAAGGAAATCCTTTACAATCAATGTAAATCTAATACAAGAGTATGAATGCTTCTAAAAATCTTTTATCACAACAGTGATATTTCTCTTAAGTTTAAGTACAAATAATTCTAAGAATGAATATGAAAGAACGAGAGCTTTGAATGTTATGATTTCTTTTCAGCAAAATGTCTAACTGAAGAATTTGGTGGAGTCTTCCTTTTATAGGCAGTTGATCCAAGGAAGCTGAACGTTGAGAAGAGTGTCCCAAAAAGGTCTGAGCCTTTTTATCTTCACAGCAAATGACCTTTCCTAGAAGTAGAAAGTACAGAAAAATACTTTTTGTCTGTGTTCTTGTGTCTAGCACAAATGAGGAAAGAGACGTTTGATTTACTCCAACGGATATATTCTTTGAATATTTCTTCTTCAGTTTTCAGCAAGTTTATCAGAATCTGATTGAGTCAGAGTCTTCTAATGATGTTCAGAACTTTGCTGTATCAGAGTCTTTTGCAGCATGTGTGCTTTCAGCGTGTTGATCATCAGAGCATATTTGACACAGAACTTCAGTACTTGACAGCTTTAGTACTTTCAGAAACTTCTGTAGAAACTATGTTTTGAGAAACTATTCATACAATATTCTTCTTAGCTTTAGATGCTTCTGACTAGCTTCAGATGCTTCTGCTTGCTTCAGATGCTTCTGCTTGCTTCAGATTCTTCTGGAGCTTCTGCTTCAAAATCTTCTGAAGCTTCTTACTTCAGATCCTTCTGGAGACTACGCTCAGGATCTTCTGTAAACAGCAATCAAAATCTTCTAAAGAATGCATCTGGCGCTTCAGAGTCTAGATAACTTCTTGTATATAATTCAGATTTGCTTCTGGAGTGTTAATTTTATTTCAATCTGCAGTAAAACTCTGAAGCAAATTTTAGAGTATATAATTCTTAACTACAAAATTTCCTAATAGTTATTATCAAAACAAAGAGATATTATTAAGAAACAATCTGTGTTCTAACAGATAGTGAACACTAAAAGTAATAATGTTACATGACTAGTACATAGCATGAAATGGCTTGTAAACTCCTAGATCAGTAACAATACCAGCAACAGAACCAACTCCAGCAGCTAAAGAAATCATCAGACAAGCAGCACTAAGAATGTGTAGACAAATCCATTTTGTGCTCCATTTTGGTATTTTCATTTGAACTATATACATTTCCACCGGAAAATACACAGTTATAGGCCAAAATGCAAAAGCTCCAATAAGTCCAACAATGTCATTGAAGAACGGTAGAAGCATTGATATTATAGTTGTTACAATTACAAAAAGTGACCTCCAAACCAATCTAAAGAGGTTGATTTTCAACGGAGAAACAATGCCAGGGATCGGAATTTGAATTTCTTTGTTGATGAAATCGCTCTCTGGAAATCTTTTAGCTGCAACTTTCTCGACTGCTGAGTAAATTGGCTGGCAGTAAACTTGGAAAGCGCCAACAAGGTGGATAACGATTGCGGCATTGGCTATATCGAGCAACCAGAAAGGATTGTAGAAACCAAAGCCAGTTAGAAGGTTGCCGGGACTCGAGTCTCCGAAAGCAGCGTATCCGAAACAACCGCATAACATATAGAAAAATGTTGTGACTATATTGCTTATCAAAGTAGCCTGCTTCATTGTTTTTGACTCCGATGGAGGCGATTTGACTGTGTCCTATCTCACGTAAATATAACAAGCATTTGTGTTTGAGATTTCAATTTAAGAAATTATTAATGTTCGCATCATCACAAGTCTTACAATTTTTGTTAAGATTAATAAATTTACCTGAATTTCTATAAGGATCAGCGAGTACGAGTATGCAAAGGCTATGTTACCAAGAGCTTGGAAGCTCCTCCAAATTTTTTGAGTTTGTGTGACAGTGCCAACAGTTATACCAGTTAGAGTTCCTTTAAAGCCTTTGTTTTCTGTAACAAGTCAAATTCAAATCAAAATTAGTCCAAATAGTTTAATCAAAATCGAAAACCCGTTTCGAATATTTTCGAACTCAGCATGTTATAAATAATAAACACTACTTAAGTTACATGAAAAACTAATAGAATGATTCATACCTATAACTTTACCAACACCAAGGCCAAGACCAATTGTTGAGTATGTAAAAGACATAGCAGCGGCTAAAGAAGAGAGCCACCATAACTGATCAAAATCCGGAATTTGAGAGAAAAATATTTCCACAATACCAAAAGAAATCATGTAAAAATTTCCATTCATATGACATGGATTTTTCCCTCCACTACTATGAAAACAATTAGACCTTTTAATTGCCCTGCAATTATATTGAACCAGAAAACACCGATTAGCACAGTTTCATAATAATAAATCTTTAAACTTTGCTACTTCTAATTAATTAATTGAATACTCACATCATGCTTATGGAAGCTGCTATAGTGTATCCAATGGCAACACCGAAAAGATTAACATATTGAATAATTCCACAAATTTTAACCTTATAGCCACCAAGATATGCTCTAACAGCATCGGTGTAAGTGTAGTTTCTTTTGCCATTGAGTTGGTCACCGGTACGGTAACAAACCGAGAGAAGAGTGGAAGTGTAGTAAATAATAAAAGCGAAAAGAAGCATCATTGATGGACCAGCAATCCATCCAAGTTGAGCTATAGCCCATGCCAATGACAGCACTCCAGAACCAATAACCGCTGTGATTATGTGCGCACTTGCTGTCCATTTGTTTCCTGTATTTGTGCAACAAAACACAAGGTTGAAATTCTCAATATCGAAACCTCTGAACAAAAATGAACAAAAATGTGTCTGTGTTCTGGTGTCTAACATGTATCTGATAATACTATTTTTGATAAAATAATTAAAGTGAAAGAGAAAGTACTTAAGAGAGATTAATGAAATGGATTACCAGTTCGTTTTAAACGTCCATCATCATCAAAGAACTTGGAATCAGCAGTGGCAATATTGGAAACTTCAAATGACTGTTGTTGTTGATGATTGTTGTTGCTACTCTTTTCCATAGTCATGTTTATTGAGCTTCAGAATGAAGACTCGAAACTCTTTACTAATAATACTATGAATCCAAGTTCTTGTTCATAAACACTCTTAGCTTATAAAGTTATAGAAATCAGTGAGAAAATGAACAAGTGTTGCTTGAAGTCAACAAAGAGGTTAAATGTTTCAAACAAAGGTGGAGTGGTTTTGTCGTGGTTTGAAATGAAGAGATGTGTGGGACTATAAATAAGTGGCGGAGGAACAAAAACTTTGTCGATTTTTTTCTTATTCACGTGTTCAAGAAATGTAGTTGCACTCTCTTTCATCATATATTCATATCCACAAAAATTTAATACATCAATGAAAATATATGAAGACCGAAGAGTGTTTCACTGTATAGAATAAAATTGAAAATGATAGTTTTATTGGGAATTTTTTTTAAAAAAAAAACACCTATTAATAGAAAATTTAATTTGATTTTGAGTCATGACTAAAAATTTGACCTGCTTTTTTTTTTAAGGTTGCAGTTCAAATTTCATCAAATGGTTGTGAGAAAAAAAAATCATTTATAGGTTGTATAAAAAATAATTTAACTGAATTTTATTTTAAAAAACAAAATTTGAGTTTATAATTTATGATCATATAAGAAAAAGAAACCTATTTAATAAGATTTATTTTTTTCATGAGTTTAAAGTGTTTCTTTTTTAGATTATAGCGTTTTATTGATAAGGTAGAGTTTTATTTAGGGATGGCAACGGGGCGGGTCGGGGGCGGGTTTAACTATACCTGCACCCGCACCCGCCTTCATGTAACAGACCCGCCCCCGCCCCCAAATCTAATCGGGGGTGAAAATTTACCACTCAGACCCGCCCCCAGTAGAAAACGGGTGCACCCGCACCCGCCCCGCCCCCACCCGCAAAAAATTATTATTTTTTTAATTATAATAAAAATTAGTAATTTAATTAAAAAATTGATTATTTTAATAAATTAAATAATTATTTAATTAAAATTTTAATTAATAAATGAATATTAACTTGATTAATTTTATTATTTTAATTGCAATAAGAATATTAATAACTTAATTAAAAATATAATTAATAAATAAATATTAAAATAAATAAAATAAGGAAATCAAAATTAAATATATTATTTGGGGCGGGGCGGGGGCGGGGGCGGGCGGGTCTTAGTGTCTACCCGCACCCGCACCCGCACCCGTAGTTAAGAACCGGGTTGCACCCGCACCCGCACCCGCACCCAATTAAATCGGATTTCCCCCGTTAATTTCGGGGCGGGCCCGGGCGGGTGCGGGCGGGCCCGGGTTTGTTTGTCATCCCTAGTTTTATTTTTAAAGTGGTTTATAGTTTACAACCTATAATTTATTTTATTAAATACTTTAAATTTGAATTTAAATTCTTATTTTTATTTGAATTTAGTTTAAATGTGAATTTAATTTTTTATTAAATTGGTTTTTCGTTTTTAAATTAATCCTTTTGGTTGAACCTCGATTTATTTTTAAGAAGATGAAGCTTGCATTAATAAGAAGAAAAGGGTACAAAGGAGCCCAGATGATCGATCAAAAGGCAATCACCAAGCTAAATCCTAGAATCTACAATCTTTTCTACTCTCACAAGACCATGAGCAAGAAGGTTCTTGGATCTACTGATATACATAATAGAACTATCAAAACAATTTTTAAGAAGGATTCTACAGTCCTCTGCAATATGTTTAATACTAGCATATTCCTGACACAAATTAATACAATCGACACAGAATTGAGAATTGGATTGGGTCAAAAAGTTCTCAATTTTCATATGCATAGCCAATTGAATGCCCCACCTAATAGCAAGACATTCAGCAACAGTGGGATCAAGCAGTCTCCTTTCTGATTTGCTTGCTGAGAAAAGGACTTTATTCTCATAATTTTTTATTACACAACCAAACGCATTCAAGCCTTCTTCAAAGACTCCTGCATCAACCTGAATGATGGCAGCAGTGGCAAATGGACCAATCTCTTCATTGTTGGAGGAGGGCTTGCTCTTCTTGTTATCATTCTAGAAAGTGAACTCTTGCACCATATCAATTGCCTCAGCAACCACTTGCGAAGGGGAGAGGGTCCTGACATGAAAGACAATTGAATTCCTTGCAAGCCAGATTTTGTACAGTATAACTCTAATGAGTTGACAAAGCAAAGAGTCCTTATAATCCAAGGAATCCTCCAGCTAGCTATAAATATCAATATTGAACAAGATTCTAAGGCTAAGAATGGAGGAGAAGAAAGACTGCTTAGCGAAATTGCAGTCTAGGAAAATATGATCCACAGTTCCAGTCTTCAAATTGCGAAAAGGACAAGAAAGGTACAGAGTAATACCTTTTTTTTCTAAGGTTGTCTCGGGTGGGAAGAATATTTGTAGCAAGTCTCCATATAAAACTCCTGATTTTATTCTGAAGAGGGATTTGACAAATCACTTTCCATAATTTCTGGTTTGGATTAGAAGAAGGCCCAGGATTTGAAAATATGCGCTCTTTCAGACATAATTGATATGCAGATCTCACAAAGTAGTTACTTTTTTATTCATAGTGCCAGATTGAACCTCGATTTTAATATTTTAATATTCGAAGGTGTATTTGTTTGATAGATTAAAATCATAATCATGATCATATGATTTCTAAGAATATCATTGCTAGGAACTATTTTTATCAATGTGTTTGGAAAATAAATAAAGTTCCTAGAAATATTTTTTGTTTTTACTTTAATTAAATTTTAAATATTAAAAATTAAGAAATAATTGTATTAAAATAATATGAGAGTGTTCAAGTATATGCTGAATTATCTTGGATATTTCTGTATAGAAAGTCTAAGACATTTGATATTGCTTGAAATACTATAAGAAAAATGATTCGTTTACGATTCCAGTATGGATCCATTCAATATAGAAGTTTTATCTAACAATCTTATAGCATCTCAAATCATAGCCACCGACGCTTCAGTTTCAAGCATCAAAGTGATGAACCAGGCAGGACCTTGTCAAGTTGTATTGTTTCGATGGAACAAACTTTGATGGGAAATTAAGACACAATAATAGACCAATACGTAGCGGATATAAAACTTCCCCAAACTTGTAGGAATCTTGAGGATCAAAAACAAATATAAGATGGGAAATCAAACAAATAAAGGCACAAAAGAACACCGTATTTTTAACGTGGAAAACCCCTCAATATAAGAGTAAAAACAACGAGTCGTCCAGACCAAAGAAATAACTCCAATATAATCAATTAAGGGTACAAGAGAGTCTTAAAGTGATTCATAAACTAGTGCTAATAATCGTAAATCACAAAATAAACTAGCTTACAAATAAGAATAAAAAAGCTAAACAAATTTCCTTAAATTGTAGCTTCAGTGTGAAGGAAATAACTTTCACCTCAGACGTTATATTGAAAATATGAACGGTCAAAAGTTAGATATATGTGTTACGAACATGTCCACTAAATTTTAGCTCGACCCAACGATTAACAAATCAGGGATCGTCGATTTAGTGAGACTGGTTGCAAAAAAACGGGAATGTGTTTCTCTACTCTTTTTAAATCCTTATTTTTTCTTTATCTATCTTAACCCTAAATGACCATCTCCACTTAAATAAGTGAGACAAATGGGCTAACCACATTTGGGTCTTTCTCCACATAGGAAGGGAGCTCAAACCCAATAAATCTCCCTTTCACAACTATGTGGCAGAAATCGCCAAACCGACAATATCACAATAAGCTTCAAATTTCTCTCTTTGTAATGCTTTAGTCATCATATCAGAACCATTATCATCTATATTAACTTTAGCTAACTCCAACACCTTAGCATTCAAAATATCATGTATCCAATGATATCTCACTTCAATGTGTTTGGACCTATTATGAAAAGTCGAATTCTTACCAAGATGAATAGCGCTTTGACTATCAACAAATAACACATATTTCTTGAACAAAACCAAGCTCCTGCAAAAAGTTCTTCAACCATAGTAACTCTTTGCAAGCTTTGGTAATTACAATGAACTCAACCTTTGTAGTAGATAATGCTATACACTTTTGCAATCTGGACTGCCAAGCAACAGCTCCCCCTATAAATTTAATCATGTAGTCCGAAGTGGACTTTATGGAATCAATGTCTCCAGCCATATCAGAGTCAGAGTACCCCACCAGAGTAGGCTTATCTCCTCCAAAACAAAGCCTCATAGAAGTAGTACCGCGAAGATACCTTAAAATCCATTTTACAGCATTCTAATGCTCTCTACCTTGATTTGACAAAAATCTACTGACTGCAGTAGCATCATGTGTTATATCTGGTCTTGTACACACTGTTGCATACATCAAACTATCCACAGTAGATGCATAAGGAACAAATTTCATATCAAATGCTTCATCTTCACTTGAAGGACTTTGATTAGAACTCAACTTGAAATGAGTAGCAAGAGGAGTGCTTACCATCTTAGAACTTTCCATTTTGAATCTTTGCAGCACTCTTTTGATATAATTTTCTTGTGACATCCAAAGTTTCTTCTCTTTTTTGTCAAGCATGATTCTAATGCCAAGAATTTATTTAGCTGCTCCCATGTCTTTCATGGCAAATGACTCTCCCAATTGCTTCTTTAACATGTTAATGTTAGAAATAATTTTCCCTACAATAAGCATATCATCAACATATAACAACATGATTATAAAGTCATCGTTAGAAAATTTTCTAACAAAGACACAATGATCTGAAGTAGTCTTCCGGTATCCTTGATCACACATAACAGACTCAAACTTCTTGTACCACTTCCTTGGAGCTTGCTTCAACCTATATAAACTCTTTCTCAATCTACACACATAATCTTCTTTACCTTTAACTTGATTGTTTCATATAGATCTCTTCCTCCAAGTCACCATGAAGGAAAGTCGTGTTCACATCCATTTGCTCAACCTCTAAATCAAGAGTAGCAGTCAAACTCAACACAGTTCTAATTGATGACATCTTTACAACAGGTGAGAAAATATCATTAAAATC